ATTTTGAAAAACTACCCAACGTCAACTAATAGCCTCGTTCATTGTTTGTCTGTTGTTTTACGCCGCACTTAGCAATATTCAAGCTATATGGCGGCGGTCTGTCAGTAATTGAGTCTGGATCCGAAAACCCTGTGATCAACAGCATGAATATCGATCTACGCAATAATCAAGTCTGAACAAACTCTCATTGGCCGGACCAGTTCAGTTCCCTATCACAGAGTGCAATCATGATACTAAACTGTCTCAAGTAGAAGACCAGCTGTGTGCTTAGACGGACGACAACACTACCTACCTTATATCCTTCCATCCATCTATTTCAGCACAAACATACATGCCTTCTCAGAATTTAACAAAAGAACCATGAAGATCCGGGTTAGAATTGATCTTCAGTAGCCCATGTTTGTCGTAAGAGGCGACTAACGGGATCGGGTGGTCAGGCTCGCTGGCTAGGTTGACACATTGTCATCGTATCCCAATTGCGTAGTTCGATGCTCAGGTGTTGATCACTGGATTGTCGGTTTAGTCTCTATTCGCCTACATCTCAATTCGCCTACATCCCATTAACATATTTGTTGGATGAGCGTCAATAGAATGACAAATAATAGTCTCAACGACCGAAACAAGAGTACAATAGTAGAAATGGAAAGTCGCCATCAGAAATAGGAGAAATGTAGCATGCATTTAGCCTGAAAATATAAGAAAGACATTGTAACAGTGTTTTTGTTAAAATACATGCATCATTAACATACAAACTCCCCGTACAGTGTCACATTTATTTCCGAAAACTCCCAGTACAGTACTGGTGCAACAACCATCAGAGCGTACAGTCTATTTTTGCCATGTTTCTCGCTAAATGTAAAGAAATAAGCATTCAAACTTCACACAGAACTTTTAACAAGACTTTTTTCTTATAAAATTGAACACAAGCACCGTGTGGTCATCACTTGCGTAATATCAGGAGTAAAACAAGCTATTTCGCGATCGCTACGTTAGCTTCGGTATGGGTGCCGCTTGAAATAGACATTTATGACAAGAATAGAAACATTATCATTATTATCTGATTCCCTGTATGTGGAGAAAGATGTTATATTCTTTAAAATGTTTCATTTGTTAAAGGTGGAGAATACCTTAAACTAACCGTGAACGTGAAGCCTGGGTTGTCCCGTAAAAACTGTACAGTGGAAAATGGGTTGTTGCAAAGGTGCAACTTCCGGTGTTCATGTACAGTCGAATACCCCCTGTGGTGTGGGATGTCTTTAAATCATCTGTTTGTAGTGAATAGGTCAGTGAATGTGTTATAGGCGCGGTCGGAAATATCCAAGCTAGATGAAGGCGAACTTCCGTCCTGCCTGTCACTCCAAAGGTGAGCTTACATGTGATATTGAAGTGATGATGTTCTTAGGCACAAGCATAGAACTGATATAGAATGTAATAAGGAAGTTAACATTATCATAACAACAATATCAGTCTCGACGATATAAAAAAACATCAGTCTCGATCCCCCATAACATCCATCCCGATCTCCCATAACATCAGTCCCGTTCTCGTAACATCCATCCCGATCTCCCATAACATCCATCCCGATCTCTCGTAACATCAGTCCCGATCTTCCTCAACATCTGTCCCGATCTCCCGTAGCATGGGTCTCGATCTCCCATAACATCACTCCCGATCTCTCGTAACATCATTCCCGATCTTCCTCAACATCTGTCTCGATCTTCCACAACATCGATCATAATCTCCCGTAACATGGGTCTTGATCTTCCATAACATTGGTCTTGATCTTCCACAACATCGATCACGATCTGCCGTAACATGGGTCTCGATCTTCCACAACATCGATCACGATCTCCCGTAACATGGGTCTTGATCTTCCACAACATCGATCACGATCTCCCGTAACATCGGACCCAATCCCTCATTACATCAGTCTCGATCTTCCACAACATCGGTCTTGATCTTCCACATCGGTCTTGATCTTCCAAAACATCGATCACGATCTCCCGTAACATGGGTCTCGATGTTCCACAACATTGGTCTCGATCTTCCACAACATTGGTCTCGATCTTCCACATCGGTCTCGGTCTTCCACAACATTGATCACGATCTTCCACAACATCTGTCCCGATCTCCCGTAGCATGGGTCCCGATCTCCCATAACATCCATCCCGATCTCCTATGACATCAGTCCCGATCTCTCGTAACATCAGTCCTGATCTTCCTCAACATCTGTCCCGATCTCCCGTAACATGGGTCTCGATCTCCCATAACATCACTCCCGATCTCTCGTAACATCATTCCCGATCTTCCACAACATCTGTATCGATCTTCCACAACATCGATCACGATCTCCCGTAACATCGGACCCGATCCCTCATTACATCAGTCTCGATCTTCCACAACATCGGTCTTGATCTTCCACAACATCGATCACGATCTCCCGTAACATGGGTTTCGATCTCCCATAACATCACTCCCGATCTCTCGTAACATCATTCCCGATCTTCCTCAACATCTGTCTCGATCTTCCACAATATCGATCACGATCGCCCGTAACATGGTCTCGATCTTCCACAACATTGGTCTTGATCTTCCACAACATCGATCACGATCCCCCGTAACATGGGTGTCGATCTTCCACAACATCGATCACGATCTCACCTAAACATGGGTCTTGATCTTCCACAACATCGATCACGATCTCCCGTAACATCGGACCTGATCCCTCATTACATCAGTCTCGATCTTCCACAACATTGGTCTTGATCTTCCACAACATCGATCACGATCTCCCCTAACATGGGTCTCAATCTTCCACAGCATTGGTCTTGATCTTCCACAACATCGATCACGATCTCCCGTAACATGGGTCTCGTTCTTCCACAACATTGGTCTCGATCTTCCACAACATCGATCACGATCTCCCGTAACATGGGTCTCGATCTTCCACAACATCGATCACGATCTCCCGTAACATGGGTCTTGATCTTCCACAACATCGATCACGATCTCCCGTAACATGGGTCTTGATCTTCCACAACATCGATCACGATCTCCCGTAACATGGGTCCCGATCCCTTATTACATCAGTCTCGATCTTCCACAACATTGGTCTCGATCTTCCACATCGGTCTCGATCTTCCACAACATCGATCACGATCTCCGTAACATGGGTCTCGATCTTCCACAACATTCCACTTGATCTTCCACAACATCGGGTCTAAACATGATCTTCCACAACATCGATCACGATCATGATCTAACGTAACATGGGTCCCGACATTGGTCTTGATCTTCCACAACATCACGCAACTTCTCGATCTTCCAACATTCGCCTTGATCTTCCACAACATCGATCACGATCTCCTAACATGGATCTTCCACATCACATCGATCTTCCACAACACGATCTCTCCGTAACATGGGTCTTGATCCTCATTACATCAGTCTCGATCTTCCCAACATCGATCTCGATCTTGACAACCTCATTACATCATCGATCACGATCTCCATAACATCGGTCTCGATCTTCCACAACATCGATCACGATCTCTTCCGTAACATGGGTCCCGATGATCTTCCACATCGGTCTTGATCTTCCACAACATCGATCACGATCTCCCGTTACATGGGTCTCGATCTTCCACAACATTGGTCTTGATCCATAACATGGGTCTTGATCTTCCTCAACATCGATCACGATCTCCGAAACATGGGATCTTCCACAACATCGATCACGATCTCACCCGTAATCCCATGGGTCTCGATCTTCCACAACATTGGTCTTGATCTTCCACAACATTGGTCTCGATCTTCCACAACATCGATCACGATCTCCCGTAACATGGGTCTCTGATCTTCCACAACATCGATCACGATCATGGGTCTCGATCTTCCACAACATCGATCACGGTAACATGGGTCTTGATCTTCCACAACATCGATCACGATCTCCGTAACATGGGTCTCGATCTTCCACAACATCGATCACGATCTCCCGTAACATGGGTCCCGATCCCTCATTACATCAGTCTCGATCTTCCACAACATTGGTCTTGATCTTCCACAACATCGGTCTTGATCTTCAACATCGGTTTTGATCTTCCATAACATCGGTCTCGATCTTCCACTTTGGTCTCGATCTTCCACTTTGGTCTCGATCTTCCACAACATTGGTCTCGATCTTCCACTTTGGTCTCGATCTTCCACAACATCGGTCTCGATCTTCGATAACATTGGTCTCGATCTTCCACTTTGGTCTCGATCTTCCACATCGGTCTTGAATATCCACAACCACGTGGATCAGTCTCGATCAACCACGACATCAGACAAGGTCCTTTACAATTCATATTCGAGTTCGTATGCGGAGTATGAGGAGGATTTGTCAACTCGATGTCTTGTGCAGCTTGAAGCAATATCAAGGCACCCGTAGTTCGAGACAGGCGGAAAGTGGATAATAGACCTCAGCAGAGATTCTGCTGATAAAGAGGAAGTGTATCACATGAAGCGATATATCGAGTTGCAAGACTTTGAGTATATGAACTTTAAGTTAACCTAATTCCTCAACATGTGCTAGAGTATTCTCAGTCAAAGAATCACATGAAGCGATATATCGAGTTACCTCGCTTTCACTTCAAGGCGTTGCGGTCAGTGTATTTAATATGTTCTGGCGTTTGTCTTCATCAAAGAAACACTTAAACCGATATATCGAGTTAAGGGACTCCGAGCTTACGAAGCTTCACTGAACATAATTCCTTTACATGTGCAAACGTATTCTTTAATTATAACACGAAATCCTCTCTCCACGAAACCCAGCAAAGGGGTAAGTTCCTATGATCCTGCACTGACATGTCGTGTTTGCACTAAGGAACATCCCCAACTACTCTACAGAAGGTTTGTGGTCGCAAATCGGATCACGATATTGTTAAGCTATAACAGGCAACGGATTGTTAAATATTTACCTGTCAATTGATTACCTGTTAATTATCAAGGACACGACTCAAGTGTGTTCACTGTGAAGGGTCTCCCACGCCAATAGGTTGCCATGTTCACAATCGTGGTAAGTGCTTAAACCTCTCTTAGTGTATCATTTCGAGATTTTGATAAATACAAAGCTGTTGTTTTTATCGAACTATACGTCACTACTATAAAAACGCCCATTTGAAAGAATTTGGTAATTGTTCATGAGCACCAAAGTGTTGGTTTTTTGTTTTAGAAGCAACATAAATTGCTTCATAAGTAAACGCACTGCTTTTTATAACCACTTAAGTACAGTGAAATCTGTATGTAACGAATTTTTACCCATATAGATGCTTGTTCATAACAGATCTTATTGGCCATTGCTATTTGTTAGCGCTAGGAAATACAACATTGCTTCGGGAAAGCCATCCTCGATAGTTTCTTAGGGTATACTATAGTGGAGAGTTATCGTAACGTATACCCTGGAGATTATCAAGGATGCGGGAAACCGACTTGAGTATTTTCCACCTCGTTATGTGATAAGTAAAGTATATGGTTATATAGTAAAACATCGTTGTGTCGAACTGACGGTAGTCTCGAAGTGTTACCCTCGAATGTTTCGAACCTTGGATAGTTCGAAGTATTTATGTAGCTCACTTCAACCTCGACACAACGAGGTTTTACTGTATATGAGAAAAACACCTACACACAATGTGTTCCATGCTTACACACGATGTGTTCCATGCCTACACACGATGTGTTCCATGCCTACACACAATGTGTTCCATGCCTTCACACAATGTGTTCCATGCCTACATGCAATGTGTTTCATGCCTACGCACGGTAAGTTCCATGCCTTTAAACAATGTGTTCCATGCCTTCACACAATGTGTCCCATGCTCAAACAATGGGTTCCATGCCTACACACGATGTGTTCCATGCATTCACACAATGTGTTCCATGCCTACACACTACGTGTTCCATGCCTACACGCAATGTGTTCCATGCCTTCACACAATGTATCCCATGCCTACACACGATGTGTTCCATGCCTACAAACAATGTGTTCCATGCCTACACACGATGTGTTCCATGCCTACACGCAATGTGTTCCATGCCTACACACAATGTGTTCCATGCCTACACACGGTGTGTCCCATGCCTACACGCGGTGTGTTCCATGCCTGCACGCAATGTGTTCCATACGTACACGCAAGGTGTTCCATGCCTACACACAATGTGTTTCATGCCTACGCACGGTGGGTTCCATGCCTTCAAACAATGTGTTCCATGCCTACACGCGATGTGTTCCATGCCTACACACGATGAGTTCCATGCCTACACACAATGTGTTCCATGCCTACACACAGTGTGTTCCATTCCTACACACAGTGTGTTCCATTCCTTCACACGATGTGTTCCATGAATCACAGATGTGGTAGAGTCGAGGGAGTTCAGGACGTCTTACCTCTGTACAGCTGCAGATTTCCTGGTTTACTCCATGCCAGTCATTTTCTGATTTCCATACTAGGGAATATTTAGTAAACTACGGTTAAAACGAACTCAAAAAGGACTAGTAATTTTAGCTCGTTATATCCTTAGTGTGTTATACGTATTTCTACTGAAATATACAGATCTAAACAGTTCGTTATATCCGTCAGTTCGTTAGAAGCGTGTTCGGAATAACAGGGATAGCCTACTGTAAGGTTGTTTGGGGGAGGAAAGTAGCTCTGAATATTTCTGGTATAATGTTACGAGCCCCGCCTGTACTTATTCTGACACCATAGTTCGAACAAGGTGTATAACGTGAATTATTGTTAGCATTCATTTTCTCTATTTTAGTACTTCTGTACGATTACCAGAGCTTGGTTTAATCGATGATGACTAATGATCAACTATAATATTCCTTCTGTGTTATGACTGTAGTTATATTACTGCGTGTTAGTCTAATGTGGGACCCGTGAAGGTCCGGGTTAGAATGAACCTTCAGTAACCCATGCTTGTCGTAAGAGGCGACTAACGGGATCGGGGGGTCAGGCTCGCTGGCTTGGTTGACACATGTCATCGGTTCCCAATTGCGCAGGTCGATGCTCATGATGTTGATCACTGGATTGTCTCAGAGTATGGCCGCCATATTTAGCAATATTTGCTGAGTGCGGCGGGGACAAGAAATGGACTTCACTCATTGTACCCATAATGAATCGAGGAAATCCGGCGACGAGCGAATGCAAATAGGCTATTAAACTACGTTTAAAGCGAATGCACGTATAACGAACTGACACATATAGCGACGTGTTTTTATTGCTCCATCCACTTGCTGTCGATTTCAGTCACAATGGCTATAACCAACTATGACGAAATATAATTAGTGGTCCCGTTCATTTCGTTATCAACCGTAGTTATCTATTACACTCTTGTATCATATTTCTTAAACCTCGGGTAAAATGTATGGTACGGTCCAGATAAGATCGAATCTGTTGGTGGTGTGTGGTCCTGTGGTAGAACGCAGGTCACGAATTAGTTGAAATTAAGCAACGTCGAGCTCGGAGAGTCCTTGGATGGGTGACCGTGTTAGGTAGCTTGACTCCTGAGAGTTTCTAGGACTTCGGTCCTGCCCCACAACGAAGCATATGTGATACATGTGGTCTCATCTTAGGCAAGTGAGTTTGATCAAAATTGCCTCTGTTCACCCAGCAGAAAATGGGTACCCGGTTGGACAAAATCATGTGTCTATAACCTTGGGTTATCTGGGGTAATAATAATCAGATCCTGATTACAGCGTCCAGTGAACAACTAGTCAGATGTATACTAGGCGCGATATAGAATGAATTATTATTATTATTATTATTATTATTATTATTATTATCTGTGATTCAATGCAAGGTGAAGTGAAGAAGAATTTGACATCGTTTTCAAATCTGTTAGTTCTGCGAGTAAACCGTGCCCTTGTAGTTATGATGAAGCTGGGCAACCTGTATACATGTACCTCGTCAATATGATTTTCACGGACACCCTGTGGTCCTTGGAACACCAAGCCCAACAACACCTGGTTTCTTTGTCAAAAATGTTCAGAGTTGTTATTTATTGTGACGTGTCTATTTCCTTCCTCCATATTGCATCTCCTAAATAAAGTCATACTATTGTAACATCTGACGCTTTGATGTCTGGCACCATACGCAGCAGAGACAGCTGCCCCTTCCATTCCTCTGTTACAGAAGAACGAGATTGACGGCAATATGAAGTATCATATCCTTGCGCCGGATGAAGTGGAGGGTGAGGAAGTGTTCTCTTTGCGCTTGTATCAAACATATGACGTATTAGTCAAGTAAAATTAGTGGAAAAATCTCTGAACCTCCAAAAAATTGGTACAGAAATGGTTTTGTGTTTATATCATTTACAACAGTTATGTAAACAATATATAAAAAGTCCTCCCTTGGATGTTGATGCTAAGTGGCTTTTGGGGGGCAAAAACTATGAAAAATGGTATTTTTCAAATATTTTTTAATCTGAAAATAAGTCCAGAAAATGGTATAAAATCTTGCAAAACATACAACTGAAGTGTACAAAATAGTAAATAATGAAAATTAAAACTGAAAAGAAATTATGAAATGAGGTTTGAACTTGGATTTTGGACACTCCAGCTCACTGGAAACAAGTAAATGAGAGTTATCTCCCCTTTGTTTACAACAGATTGAAGTAGTAGAATATATCTTTTATAAAAATCTAACTAGATGAAGCTATAGTTGGCCAAATAGATAAAGGATTGAAAAGACAGCTAAAAGCTACAATTAAAAGAGATGAGGAGGATGACTGAGGTGATTCTGCTCCAAACCGAAACATGAGTCTCGTTAACCAATTCAGACAATGACCTACTTTTCAGCCGATCCGAATTTTCTCGTGTGAAAGTGAAAAGAGACACTCCAAACAACTATGGTTACACTGAATTCCAATTTCCTGTTTTATAAGAAAATGGTACTTACAAATGAATTTTAATTTTAAACTTTAATAAAATCGTATTTCTATATTTTGTTGCGAGGTTTAGGCAGCATGACCTTAACTAGCCGTCACAGACTGCCCCTGTTTGATGAGGTCGTAAAATTATTCAAAATTCATCTGGCTCACTGGTTAGCGTGACGAGCGAACGCTCTAACCACTAGGCTTCCCCACCGCCCCCTTTATGTGAGCAGAATTGAGTGAACCCTTGCAAATATTTATAGTATAACTGGCATTTTTTTAACTGATTTGAAATCTCAGAAACATTTAAAAAACGGACTGAAATCTTCATGAAAAACACATATTTTTAGTAGGAAAACATCTATTTCTTAAAATTGGAAAAATCATTAACTTAGGCTCCTTGTAGTGAGTGAGTTTAGTTTTACGCCGCACTCAGCAATATTCCAGCTATGGCGGCGGTCTGTAAATAATCAAGTCTGGACCAGACAATCCAGTGATCAACAGCATGAGCATCGATCTACGCAAATGGGATACGATGACACGTGTCAGCCAAGTCAGTGAGCCTGACCACCCGATCCGATCCGATCCTTCGACAAGCATGGGTTACTGTAGATCAATTCTAAACTTGATCTTCACGGGCGCTGGGCTACTTGATCAAAGCTCTAGAAAGGTTTTGAAAGCACAACTAGTATTGTCCTTTTTACTGCTAGTAAAATAATTTAAAATATTGGTATTTTTGAAATTGAAATAACTAATGGACAAATTCTTTAAGTATTTCAAATACTTAAATAGTAGGTGATGCATGCTTGTTTATCAACCACCTTTAAATATTGCTCAGGAAACGAAAAGATCTCTGACTGACAGAGGGATGACTATATATCCCATGGTATTACATGTCGTTGGGGGTAACTGTCATGAAATCATGTACAATTCAATGTACCGGTAAGTGAAAACCTATTGCAAGCACCGTTGAATCAAATCACCTCACCAAACCACATCTCAAATATTCAAGTTAGCCTGAACACAACCCTTCAAATTATTGGACTTCGGTGTGTACAATGTCGGTACACATTTCGACAAGCCACATGTATTAAGTTAACCAGAGTCAAGTAATCTACACAGATTCATATTCACGTGGAAGTCAGCTGGTTGTATTTGACAGATAATATCTCACATAGGACACTGTAATGGATTTACTGTGAGAATTTGTCACACATATGTTGACATGGAAGTCCCCTGTTCTTCAATCGGTTCCATGAGGTTACAGCAGAAAATTTATCGATGTGGACTACAGTCTTTAGCAATAAATACACTTTTCTTTTAATAGTAAACCTAAACCTAGTGTCATGGACAAATACCTGGAGAGCAAAGGCACCACTTATGTTCTCAATTGAACTCCTATTGGCTTTGGATATAGCCGTTGCAAGTATACTACCATGGATAAAGTCCAAGGAAACAATAAATACACATTTCAACATCTTAGAATAGCACAGGGCTCAAGTTCACATCTCTCTCTCTCTCTCTCTCTCTCTGTGTTCAAAGTTGATGAATGAATATGTGTTAGCTTTATAGATATAACAGCTTCTCCATATTGAGAGAGGATAGTTCCGTTTCAGATTAATCATAACTTTGATGAGGCAAAAAGAGGAACTAAATTGCATGTTCCTGAAGTTGTGTTTATTTTACCCTTGAAAATAGAAAATATATGCTCTGAAAAGTCTTTTATCTATGGTTTTTTTTAAATTATGACTTTTCCAGTCAATGTATTAGTAGTTCCATGTGAAAATATGCATATAAAAGTACTTGGGTCTCAGTATGAGATTTTTAAAATTATTCTCTTAAAATTTTAACTTTTCATTTCTTTACCCCATAATAGTATTTAGCATACATATATTTGACTTTTATAACCCATGTATTACTAATAAATAGGTCCATAAAATTTCAATTTATTTACCTTTTTACCCCAAAATAGGACTTCGGATAACATTATTTGACTTTTTTCTAATTCATCTCTTGGTAGTACCTTCTGTACTCTTTGAAAATATATATAAAAAGGTAAATTTGTGCCTCAATATGAGATTTAAAAATTATTTACTGAAGATTTCAATTTTTAAAAGTTTTACCCAAAATTAGGACTTAGCATCATATTTCAAGGGAGGACTTTGTAATACTCATTAGTTATAACTTAAACATGTTGGAAACACTCAAAGCATTCCTGTACCAATTATTTGGAGTTATTGTCACATTTTGACTGGACTATATTCCCAAACCAGTTAATCATAGAGGTTTTCTTTAACGAAGACGATGATTCCGGCGAATGGCAATTTAATGACTACAAATGCATCATGTAAAAGCAACAAAACTAGCAATATGCGTCTTGATTGATGGGATCGGTGGAGTAGCCTAGATGTTACAAACTTGGTTTACAAGTTAATTTTCTTTTTCAACTTTAATAACATCGTATTTCTATATTTTATGGCGAGGTGTAGTCAGCATGACCTTAACTAAGACGTCACAGACTGCCCCTGTTTGATGAGGTCGTAAAATGATTTACAATTCCTCTGGCTTACTGGTTACACCTGTTGTGTGTGTTTTCTGCGCTTATTCAGTGTAGTTTTGTAACGCACAATGTGATTGATATAATGTCAAGTCCGTACCAGGCCGCCAAACTTTTCTAGCGGCAGAGCCTCGTTTTGAGATTTCCACGATTTCCAGATTTCCGTTTGTCAGAGCACGCTGTACGACAGAGCACGCTGCACGACGTGTTTGCAAGGATTAGAAGGAGCGTAATCTTGCAATATACAAGTAGTTAGATGTATCAAATAATACTGATTAATATTTATGTATCCAGTTCAATTAATCGGTCTCAAAATTCTGGACTGGTTATTGTACTAAGGGCGCAATAGGACGGAACCCGGTGAGCAGGAAACGAGAATGTTGTGTAATCAATGTTTTGACTTGAGCGTTTTATCATCACGCCACAGGTCCGGGTTCGATTCCACATTGTACATAAGTAAAATGTGTGACGGTCTTTCTATAGTGCCCAGCTTTGTTATTGCTGGAATAATACAAAAACCGGTTAAAACCTATAGTCACTAGGATGACATTTTCCTTAGCTTACATTGAATTAGAAGTGATGTTATCCCGAAATTAACTTTCAACACCCGCCAAACTAAAGGTCTGACCATTAATGAATACCGATGAGATATAGTATCCACCATCTTAACGTCTGTTGGAGTTTAAGACAGTGATCTGTAAACAGAGAGGCACAGAAAATCTCCGGTGAATTTAGCATGTAAAGTTTTTAGTTTGTTAACATCTTTAGCGAAACAATTAGCGATATCAAAAACATGGACTTTTTTTACACTTAGTCAACACTAAACACTAAGAATATTTCTACATGATGTTTAAGCAATAAAATGTAATCAAAATCCTTTAATATTAAATTTAAAACGTGCATTATACACAAATGTTGATGTTTATCTTAGACACCTTATTAAATCAATAAATCTAAGTTCGGCACAACATTTCACTTAAGGCAGATGTTATGTTGTTGCAAATTCATCTTTTTACCCTAGTCATCAATGTATTTTTACACAACATTCCAAACCACAGATTACCCATTGCAAACTGTTGCAGGAATAAATTAAGGTTAAATGGATATAATCCATTTTGAATGACATCAAAAGCAAACTTGTTTGCCCCGTTTACAATGTATTACAACATTCAACAATCAAATAATATTGTTGCTTCAGAAAATGAATTGAACTCCAGAATGATAAAATACATGTTTTTCATCTTCTGTGCAGCTTACAACGACATCTTCAAGGTGTTTGACGAGGGAGGAAAAGGATACCTGACAGCAAGCGATTTCAGTAGAGTGGGCAACATCCTCCACACCAGCAACGCCGACACGTCAGACGTCTGTAGCAGCTTTGACATCAACGGTAACGACGTTTAAGACATCTTCCAATGTTCCCACTGCGTTGAATTATGATGCAGTCAAATACACAAGTATACACACAAGCATTAATTAAGCAACACCGAACATTTTGGTGTACATTAAATTGAAAACAATGTATTATTCATAACTGACAACAGACCGCCTGAAAATTACAATCGGTACCGATGAACTGATACAATACGAAGAAATCTAAAAATATTCATTTCAACAAAGCTGAAAGGTTTCAGCTCCCAGCACACACTATGAATCCTACCGTCGCATTATACAGTGAAAAACGACCATCAACCTAGAAATCACCCTTGACACAGTGTCGTGTATACCCTTCCCTCTCATGGAAGATATTCACAAGTCTTCTCTTGCTGCTGTCTATGGCCCTCACTTCGCTGCCAAGGTAATCCTAACGGCGTTCCATTGAGTTCAGATCAGGCTTTGTTGTTGCTTTTTGAATTTCAATCAGGTGGTCCTTGATTAATGCTCATGTGTATCTGTTCAATCAACCATGTCCATATCAAGGGTTAACACAATTCAAATTGAACTGAGCATGTGCCGTTCCTGTGCTTCTTCGAATGCATTCAATAATTAACATACCCTCAGACTGACCTAGTTGGAGTATGCGAAACACAACACCACAGTCCCGTAAGCTCTTATTCATGTAACTAGCAGGTCTCGAATCATGAGTGTGCAGTAATGGAGCTGAACCTGTGGAAGCATCAGACGCAGTACTAGAGCTGAACCCGTGGAAGCATCAGACGCAGTACTAGAGCTGAACCCGTGGAAGCATCAGACGTGGAAGCTGAAGCATCAGACGCAGTACTAGAGCTGAACCCGTGGAAGCATCAGACGCAGTACTGGAGCTGAACCCGTGGAAGCATCAGACGCAGTACTAGAGCTGAACTCGTGGAAGCATCTGACGCAGTACTGGAGCTGAACCAGTGGAAGCATCTGACGCAGTACTGGAGTTGAACCCGTGGAAGCATCAGACGCAGTACTGGAACTGAACCTGTGGAAGCATCAGACGCAGTACTGGAACTGAACCTGTGGAAACAGACGCAGTGAACTGAACCCGTGGAAGCATCAGACGCAGTACTAGAACTGAACCCGTGGAAGCATCTGACGCAGTACTGGAGCTGAACCAGTGGAAGCATCAGACGCAGTACTGGAGTTGAACCCGTGGAAGCATCAGACGCAGTACTGGAACTGAACCTGACATGTGGAAGCATCAGATGCAGTACTGGAACTGAACCTGTGGAAGCATCAGACGCAGTACTGGAACTGAACCTGTGGAAGCATCAGATGCAGTACTGGAACTGAACCTGTGGAAGCATCAGACGCAGTACTGGAACTGAACCTGTGGAAGCATCAGACGCAGTACTGGAACTGAACCTGTGGAAGCATCAGACGCAGTACTGGAACTGAACCTGTGGAAGCATCAGACGCAGTACTAGAACTGAACCTGTGGAAGCATCAGACGCAGTACTGGAACTGAACCTGTGGAAGCATCAGACGCAGTACTGGAACTGAACCTGTGGAAGCATCAGACGCAGTACTGGAACTGAACCTGTGGAAGCATCAGACGCAGTACTGGAACTGAACCTGTGGAAGCATCAGACGCAGTACTGGAACTGAACCTGTGGAAGCATCAGACGCAGTACTGGAACTGAACCTGTGGAAGCATCAGACGCAGTACTGGAGCTAAACCCGTGGAAGCATCTGACGCAGTACTTGAGCTGAACCCGTGGAAGCATCTGACGCAGTACTGGAGTTGAACCTGTGGAAGCATCAGATGCAGTAGTGGAACTGAACCTGTCGAAGCATCAGATGCAGTACTGGAACTGAACCTGTGGAAGCATCAGACGCAGTACTGGAACTGAACCTGTGGAAGCATCAGACGCAGGACTGGAACTGAACCTGTGGAAGCATCAGACGCAGTACTGGAACAGAACCTGTGGAAGCATCAGATGCAGTACTGGAACTGAACCTGTGGAAGCATCAGACGCAGTACTGGAACTGAACCTGTGGAAGCATCAGATGCAGTACTGGAGCTGAACCTGTGGAAGCATCAGATGCAGTACTGGAACTGAACCTGTGGAAGCATCAGACGCAGTACTGGAACTGAACCTGTGGAAGCATCAGACGCAGTACTGGAACTGAACCTGTGGAAGCATCAGATGCAGTACTGGAACTGAACCTGTGGAAGCATCAGACGCAGTACTGGAACTGAACCTGTGGAAGCATCAGATGCAGTACTGGAACTGAACCTGTGGAAGCATCAGATGCAGTACTGGAACTGAACCTGTGGAAGCATCAGACGCAGTACTGGAACTGAACCTGTGGAAGCATATCAGACGCAGTACTGGAACTGAACCTGTGGAAGCATCAGACGCAGTACTGGAACTGAACCTGTGGAAGCATCAGACGCAGTACTGGAACTGAAGCTGAAAGCCTGTGGAAGCATCAGACGCAGTACTGGAACTGAACCTGTGGAAGCATCAGATGCAGTACTGGAACTGAACCTGTGGAAGCATCAGATGCAGTACTGGAACTGAACCTGTGGAAGCATCAGATGCAGTACTGGAACTGAACCTGTGGAAGCATCAGACGCAGTACTGGAACTGAACCTGTGGAAGCATCAGACGCAGTACTGCAACTGAACCTGTGGAAGCATCAGACGCAGTACTGGAACTGAACCTGTGGAAGCATCAGATGCAGGACTGGAACTGAACCTGTGGAAGCATCAGATGCAGTACTGGAACTGAACCCGTGAATTCATAAGTACTGAAACTGAACACGTGGATTCATGAGTACTGGAACTGGAAGACCCTTGGTACTTACGAAGACGTCCCAAACAGTATTTTCTCGGTCTTCACATAACGAGATCTGGATTAACGGGTTTCACTGGGATTCAAATACGATCGGTAATGTGAGGTTTTTACATGAGTGATGACGGTCCGCTGACTCTGAAAACAGAAAGTGGTGTTTATCAACTCGTATCAGTTGGTGTGGGAGGATATTTCAAAGAGGCCACATGTTTGCCAATTTGATTTAAACCACGAGCATGGATCTTGTGCTAACAAACAAATCATTGTTGGGGACATTCTAGATACAGAATTACACGGCAACAGTTCGTGGATAAATCATGACCTATTCTTATTTAAAGCCGGAATAGTGTCAAATTAAATATTAAGCACAGGACTCCGCGAAGGCTGAATGGACATGCGGCATTTGTGACCAACTCGTCTCATTCCCGGAAATGAACGATTTAAGCATTGGTGATTAATCTCAGCAAAGTACCTCAATCCTTAAACACATTCTGATTGGTTTGTCGTATTTTCGCACATGCATTGATAAGAGTCTTCTTGCAGCTTAGGAAAAGGGCGAGTGGTGAACGGACGGAGTTTATGCCACCTCTGACAACATACCTGGACGACAATGTCCAATAGACTCATTGCCCAGGATACAGTTCCGTGGTTTGGAAAAACACATTGCACCTTAATCATATCAAGGAAGTTTCAATGCCGAAATCATGCTTGTTTACTGCTTGCTCGTATTCTAAAATCAAGCCAATTCTAATGATTAAAAAAAACAAATTAATGACTTGCTGTAGACACACAAGGATTAAACATACAACGGGACTTAAAGTTATCGTAGCGAAAAGGATTTAGATGCCGAGATTAGGATGAAGAAATCGTAACAGATACGTGCTGTATAATGACGGCAGAGAAGCTACTCAGTGACGTCACCTCCATGTTTCTCTGTCCTTGCCATTCATACACGTGCGGTATATAGACGGCAGAGAAGCTACTAATTGTCGTCATCTCCATGTTTCTCTGTCCTGGCGTTAAATAGACGGCAGAGAAGCTACTCAGTGACGTCACCTCCATGTTTCTCTGTCCTGGCGTTAAATAGACGGCAGAGAAGCTACTCAGTGACGTCACCTCCATGTTTCTCTGTCCTTGCCATTCATACACGTGCGGTATATAGACGGCAGAGAAGCTACTAATTGTCGTCACCTCCATGTTTCTCTGTCCTGGCGTTAAATAGACGGCAGAGAAGCTACTCAGTGACGTCACCTCCATGTTTCTCTGTCCTTGCCATTCATACACGTGCGGTATATAGACGGCAGAGAAGCTACTAATTGTCGTCACCTCCATGTTTCTCTGTCCTGGCGTTAAATAGACGGCAGAGAAGCTACTCAGTGACGTCACCTCCATGTTTCTCTGTCCTTGCCATTCATACACGTGCGGTATATAGACGGCAGAGAAGCTACTAATTGTCGTCACCTCCATGTTTCTCTGTCCTGGCGTTAAATAGACGGCAGAGAAGCTACTCAGTGACGTCACCTCCATGTTTCTCTGTCCTTGCCATTCATACACGTGCGGTATATAGACGGCAGAGAAGCTACTAATTGTCGTCACCTCCATGTTTCTCTGTCCTGGCGTTAAATAGACGGCAGAGAAGCTACTCAGTGACGTCACCTCCATGTTTCTCTGTCCTTGCCATTCATACACGTGCGGTATATAGACGGCAGAGAAGCTACTAATTGTCGTCACCTCCATGTTTCTCTGTCCTGGCGTTAAATAGACGGCAGAGAAGCTACTCAGTGACGTCACCTCCATGTTTCTCTGTCCTTGCCATTCATACACGTGCGGTATATAGACGGCAGAGAAGCTACCAATTGTCGTCGCATCCATGTTTCTCTGTCCTGGCGTTAAATAGACGGCAGAGAAGCTACTAACTGTCGTCACCTCCATGTTTCTCTGTCCTGGCGTTAAATAGACGGCAGAGAAGCTACTCAGTGACGTCACCTCCATGTTTCTCTGTCCTTGCCATTCATACACGTGCGGTATATAGACGGCAGAGAAGCTACCAATTGTCGTCGCATCCATGTTTCTCTGTCCTGGCGTTAAATAGACGGCAGAGAAGCTACTAATTGTCGTCACCTCCATGTTTCTCTGTCCTGGCGTTAAATAGACGGCAGAGAAGCTACTCAGTGACGTCACCTCCATGTTTCTCTGTCCTTGCCATTCATACACGTGCGGTATATAGACGGCAGAGAAGCTACTAATTGTCGTCACCTCCATGTTTCTCTGTCCTGGCGTTAAATAGACGGCAGAGAAGCTACTCAGTGACGTCACCTCCATGTTTCTCTGTCCTTGCCATTCATACACGTGCGGTATATAGACGGCAGAGAAGCTACCAATTGTCGTCGCATCCATGTTTCTCTGTCCTGGCGTTAAATAGACGGCAGAGAAGCTACTAACTGTCGTCACCTCCATGTTTCTTTTCCAATCAATTGTGACGCTGAACCAGCTGCTCACCGTGTCTCTCCAACAGGCGACGATAGGCGGAGTGAGTGAGTGAGTGAGTTTTACGCCGCACTCAGCAATATTCCAGCTATATGGCGGCGGTCTGTAAATAATCGAGTCTGGACCAAACAATCCAGTGATCAAGAGTATGAGCATCGATCTGCGCAATTGGGAACCGATGACATGTGTCAACCAAGTCAGCGAACCTAACCACCCGATCCCGTTAGTCGCCTCTTACGAAAAGCATGGGTTACTGAAGGCCAATATTCTAACCCAGAACTTCACGGGTAGACGATAGGCGGACTAATCACAAGAAACAATATCGAGTTATCCGAACTTTGAGACATCCGACCATCACATGGAGTTTTCATCACATATCACTATGAAGGAAAACAAAACAAAAAGTAGAATTCATGTGTATGTATTTGTATATACATCTCTATGTATTTCTCTATACCTCGTACAAGCTTTTACGTAAGGGTAGACACGCTACTCACTGTCGTCACCTGCATGTTTCTCTGTCTCTGCAACAGATGACGGTAAAGTGACGCTGGACGAGCTACTCACTGTCGTCACCTGCATGTTTCTCTGTCTCTGCAACAGGTGACGGTAAAGTAACGGTAGACACGCTACTCACTGTCGTCACCTGCATGTTTCTCTGTCTCTGCAACAGGTGACAGTAAAGTTACGTTGGACGAGCTACTCACTGTCGTCACCAACATGATTCTCTGTCTCTGCAACATTTGACAGTAAAGTGACGCTGGACGAGCTACTCACTGTCGTCACCTGCATATTTCTCTGTCCCTACAACAGGTGACGGTAAAGTAACGGTAGACACGCTACTCACTGTTATCACCTGCATGTTTCTCTGTCCCTGCAACAGGTGACGGTAAAGTGACGCTGGACGAGCTACTAACTGTCGTCACGTGCATGAATCAGAAGGCAAATACAGAAACGGAAATGTCCCACGTGTTCCGACTGCTGGACAAGAACAGCGATGGTTGTCTGGACAAGGAGGAACTCAAGCAGTTGATGACGTCGTTGGGGAAACAGTTGTCTGAGAAGGAGGTGGATGAACTGATCATGAAGTTTGACAGCGACCTGGACGGCCGTCTACAGTATGGAGGTCAGTACAGCATATCCCTTAGCATATGCAGAGCGTTTGTTGTTTTACGCCGCACTCAACACTAGGCGGCGCATGTGTGGAGTGAGTGAGTGAGTGAGTGACAACTGTACTGAGTCAAAAAAGAAACTTCACATTCTTTCTTCAGGGCACTATAAAAGAACAAGAGATGGTAAGATGGTTAAATTGTTATTATTTCATTGCTGAGATCTGTGTGATGTACTCGATACACTGACAGTGCCATAATCAGTTCCATTGGGCTACACCGCCGTTCCAAAACATGGGTATACAGAATGTCAAGTCACAAGAATAAAAATGCGAAATTTCTCAGTTCAATATCGTGTATGGCCGCCCCGCGCATTCACCACTGCCAAACACCGTCTCCTCATCGACTGCCTGATGCTTGTGAACACGTGGTTGGGGATTCTGCGCCATTGCTCTTGCAAGGCAGCGCCAATTCCTTGCAAATTCTGAGGTTGGTTCCTAAGACCACGAAGCCTTCTCCCAAGTGCATCCCAAACGTGCTCTATTGGATTAAGGTCAGGGGACCTCGATGGCCAGTCCATGACGTTGATTCCAGCGTTTTGAAGGAAATTTCGTGTCAACATCGCGGTATGCGGCCGAGCATTATCATGCTGGAACTGTAGACTGGGCCATGAGCCGCCATGAAACGAGTTCAGGGGTGAGCACCTGGTCGCGGTAAGCAGCAGCTGTGAGGTTTCCACGGATGACCAGAAGTCGGGAACGGTTGTTCCCACAGAAAGCACCCCACACCATGCAACTTCCGCCCCCGAATCTGTGGACTTCCTGTACACAACATTGGGCATACCGTTCACGACGTCGTCTCCAGACTCTATGCCTGCCGTCCGCGAATCTGAGGGTAAACCTGGATTCATCGCTAAAGACGATTCGATTCCAGTCTCTCTGGGTCCATCGGAGGTGACGTTGGGCCCACAGCAGACGTTGACGTTGATGAAACGGCGTCCATATTGGCCCACGATATGGACGTTGAGAATGGAGATTGGCTGCCCGCAACCGATTTTGAATGGTCTGCGAGGACAGTCGACCCCTAAACATCTCAGCCCTGGTTCGTGTAGCCGGCAGAAATCTGTCACGTAGGTGACGTAGGACGATTTGACGGTCTTCTGCTCGTGACGTCACACGTGGACGACCCGACCTTGGGCGATCAGAAGTGGTGCCAGTTTGTTGTAGACGACCTCGCAAGTCATACACAGTACGACGACTGCATCCCATTGCTCTTGCGACGTCAATAACTGATCTTCCCGCTTGCAACATGCCAACGGCACGTTCACGTTGCACATTTGACAATCGTGGCATTTCAATTACCGTTAGAACTGTGGTTTAAAAGTGTTTTTTCAATTCTTGAGGCCAATGCAAACACGTGCATATGAAAAAGACTTCGCCGCGAAGATCACGTGATCGACTGCACGTGCAAAACCTGATTTGGCACTAACGTCATTTGCACGACGAATGGATGGGTTTGAGTGGGTTTTGCTAACGTTTTTCTAGAGTCGAAAGATAGGGATCCCATTTCGGATACATAGATGTATCATCAGAAAAAAAATATTCATTATTTTTCAAATTACATTTTGTGAAGTTTCTTTTTTGACGAATGGGCCAACCATGAAAAATATTTATAGGAGATAATAACGTTTTCATACCCCATTCTTTTGGTCATGGTTATATCTAGATACGCGAAACTTGGTATTTTTTACAATAATTACGTAGTCAGAGTAACGTTTTTATTTGCCTTTGGTATATGCATAATAATATCAAATTGCTACATCAAAACGTATATCAGTTTTTATAGATACTTGTTTTGGGATGATGAATATATGTGTGGCGATATTTTAATGCATACCCTATACACACATAACAAAATTCGGTAAAACATTCATTGTCCCCAACAGCTTTTTGTTGTTCATGCTTCAGGAAGGAAATAAGGAGTTTCTGTATGCTAGTGGATGTTAATGCAGCTGTTTCTGTGTTTGTTTGCGAAGTTATATTTTGTTCGGAGTTTAATCTTTTGTAAACTCAATGGCCAAACCCTTGAGGTAGCGTGTCTGTGTCTCATGAGTTCTTCGTAAACATTCCAACTAATGCTAAATCTGGTGTTATTTCTTTCACTATATTTAGAATTTGTGAAGATGTTGTCCTCATAAAGCAAACTTTGGGAGACGTCTGCAGAAAAGACAACGATCTGCTGAGACATTCGGCTCATCACCGTCCAAGACCCCAGGGTGAGCGACTGCTGCCATCTTGACACACGGTTGCACAACCACTGCTGACATGAACATTTGCATTGTCAATTTTGCTGACTCAGCTATTCAGCTGATTGCTCTATTTGTCTAGTGTACACAATATTATTGATTTATCTATTATCACACGTGTTATTTTAAGGTTAACTGTGCAATAAAGTTACTTTAGGGTACACTTTTTGTCTTTGATTTATTGAATGAATATTAAAGTGTGAACACAGAATCAACATCGTTTGTCATATCAGTTCCTTGAAATATGAACAGTGTGTTTGATCAGTTTTTATGTCTTTAAGTTATGTTGGCACGAATTATAAAAAGTTGTGTAGCCACCAATCTGTATGGACATAAATCATAGGACATTCATTTTGGTTTGCGTATTGTTGCATAAATACTGTTTTGAGGAGATCAATAAATCTACCGATGTCTGTGGGGCGGTGGGTAGTTTGGTGGTTAAAGCGTTCGCTCGTCAAGACGAAGATCTGGTTCGATTCCCGACAAGGGTACAATGTGTGAAGTCTATTATTACTAATATTACTAAAGGCGGCGTAAAACCATATTCACTTACAAAACGAAACAACTTCTATTGCATTTTTTAAGCGAACTTCGAATGATATCAATGTTTGATTGAACCATACACTGTAACAGTTATAGTTGTTTAACATCTCATCCGTTGAAATGGAATACAAAAACGAACCCTTATTCGATATCTGTTGTTGTTTTTTTAAAACTACAGCTTCCAATATCCAGTATCAATATCATGACGGCCTGTAAATATTTGAGTCGGGATCAGATAGACCAGTGATTCATATAATGACCACCGGCTTGGTCGCGCCGCCGGGGTACGCTGACACGCCAGCCTAGTCGCTAAACCTGTCCACCTGAACCGTTCAGTCACCTCAACGATTTGTGTAGCAACAGGATGCATAGAGCGAGCGAGTGAGCGAGTTTGGTTTTACGCCGCTTTTAGCAATATTCCAGCAACATCACGGCGGGGGACACCAGAAATGGGCTTCACACATTGTACCAATGTGGCGAATCGAACCCGGGTCTTCGGCGTGACGAGCCAACGCTTTACCCACTAGGCTACCCCACCGCCCGGATGCATACAGGACGCCAACAGAACACATTAAGGAAATCAACATGACACATACAGAAAGCCAACATGACACATACAGGACACCAACAGGACACCTACTGGATACCCGGTGCTACATTGAATCAACGCATAGACGTATATATTCCCTTGTTAGAATGAAAGTGGCATGCATTGAAATGGCGTTTTATTACGATCTTTATATTTGTGATCGTTTCGGTGCAAGTTAATTAATATTTCCAGATAGTTATGTAGTCTTTAATGTGTGAAGCCCATTTCTGGTGTCCTGCGCCGAAATAATGCTGGAATATAGATAAAAGCGGCGTGAAAACTACACTCACACACTCATTACACTTGCGATATGATTCCTGGAGTACCATGTATAGAATAACAGGATACGGATATTAGACGATGTGTCTGGTGCAAACATTTTGAAACTTGCAAACGAAACAGACTCAACACTGTTCTGTCACCTCTACATTTTTTTTTCTTCCATGATGCGCCACACGGAACGGCGTGCAAATCGAAAAAGCGACGCCTTTCGAAATAATAGTTTCCATCAAAGAGTGCCTCAAAGGGAAAGGGATTTTACAAGCGCTTCGAACCAAGATTTCCAACCAATCGACAACGTTGCGGTGTGGAGTTCTCGTAGAACAAACTTATGGTGTATTGCTTTAAACATATTTATTTTCAAACAGTAGAATCGGATTGGTAAACAAGCAGTATGTTGAGAGAGAGTATGTTGAGAGAGAGAGAAAGAAAGAAAGAGAGAGAGAGAGAGTATCCAGTGATCAACAGCATGAGCATCGATCTATACAATTGGGATACGATAACTTGTGTCAACCAAGTCAGTGAGCCTGACCACCCGATCCCGTTAGTCGCCTCTTACGACAAACATGGGTTACTGAAGACCAATTCTAACCCGGATCTAACCCGGGTTTCAAAGATTCAATCCAGCAAGCAAATACACATTTTCTTGACTTTGATTTCACAAAACTGATGTCATCTTTGAACAAACGGATGCAAAGAGTACAGCATTACACTTGCAAGTGAAGAGCATAGGTGATCAGTCCAAACACCTACATGTTAAAGAAAAGATATTTGGACGACACGTTTGACCTATTGCGCTTTTGACCTTCGTCGATGGATCCGTTGGGAAAGGAGGGTGCACACACTGGGGATACAGTTAAAATATCAAGTGTATTACTGAATTTGTAATTATTTTAAATTATAACTGAAAATAAGTCTGGAAAACTGGAATGAGTCATGTAACCGATTGAATCTGTGCCGTGCAGGCAAGTTGTTAAAAGATTTCATGGCGCAGTCACGCCCAATCATTCGTTTGATAACTCGTACAAGCGGAATCTGAAAATACGGATTTCATATTCTGGTAGGAGCATCTTATAAAAAAATCAACCACTTCACAAGGCACTGAGATCATAGATATTTACCTCCAAACGTCGTTTCCATTCGTTTCACGGTCAACATATACGCGAGGTTATTCGCGAGAGTTACTTCCCTTTAGCTGTCCTGTCCACTTTGCAACCCGTCAATACGATGTACATCAGCGTTATTCATATTTTTAGCACGAAACTACTTAATTCATCACCATTATTGACGAAAATAGAGATCAGTGTTTCAGACTAAACTTCGTTACAATAACAAATTGAATACTTGACCACCGGAATCAAAATAGACGTTTGTCGAAATTAATATAGAAATTATTTACTAATATACTGCGTTTGACTTCTCTTCAAAGATGCAGAAAAAATATTTTGCCTGGGTAATTATTCACTAGAGATGTCAGTTATGGTTTCCAAGTACACATTCCGAGGGTTTGCGCTACGAAAATGCTGAAAGTTTTTTTATAAATGTGTTCTTAAACTGTCTTAAAATGCGAATTACTGCCGCACTGTATCGAGTGTTCATATTTTACACTTTGCACGAGCATATAGATTAGAACTAGGGGTGGGTATTGCAGGGAATTTTCATATTGCGATATACTGCGATGAGAAAGCTTGTATTGCGATATGTATTGCAATATATTGCAAGAAATTGTTTTTGACAAAAAATTACTTACAATCGAGTTAATACTTGATTTATAAAGCAAACACACAATGCTTGATTAGGCTTTAATAATAACTTTTAATCATAACAAAATAAAAATGTAAATAATGTTTGGCACAAATGAAACAAGGAAAGGAACAATCTAAAAAACGGAAATATCCGAAGATGTCCGAGTGTTACGAAGTTTTCCGAATGCATGTCAAAATACCGGTTTTCGATCAGCGTATCGCAATACGTATCGTTTTCATGTTTGAACCGGTAAATACCGGTAAACCGGTTATATTGCGCAGCCCTAATTAGAACAAGTATAATATACAGGCATATGAGTATTACTTGTGAATCTGTGAGACTCGATTGATTGTCATCATTGGTTCCAACAGGCGACAGCCATCACAATGACACTCAGCTGAACAGCGAGAATCGAACCCGTGTCTTCATCCACTTGTCAACCCTAATTCACACATATTAGTTTGGGTTGGTTGCCTGTTTGGTTGTAAGCGTCCAGACGACAGTGTGTAAATAACCCGGACCAGATATTCCAGTGATTGATGTTATGAGCATCAATCTCCTATACTGTGATGCAATGACGTCCATCAACCAAGTCGTTTTGGGTATGGTGTGTTGTTTTACGCCGCACCCAGCAATATTCCAGCCATATGGCTGCGATCTCTGAATACTCGAGTCTAGACCAGACAATCCAGTGATCAACAGCATGAGCATCGATCTACGCAATTGGGATACGATGATATGTGTCAACCAAGTCAGCGAGCCTGACCACCTGATCCCGTTAGTCGCCTCCTACGACAAGCATGGGTTACTGAAGACCAATTCTAACCCGGACCTTCACGGGAACATCAGCCAAGTCAGCAAGCCAGACCACCAGATATCGAAAGTCACGACCAAAATTAGCTTGTGAAGATCACTTCCAACCCGGTTATTGCATGTTTCATCTATGAAAGCCTGACTGTTGTATGCTTGATAGATTTGTATCCAACACGATGGACTAGTTCTACTCAGTTAGCCGTCGTACGGTACTGCCCAAAATAATGTCCCTTCAATCACGATCTGTACACTTCACCGTCGCACGTCACAACTCGGGGATGTGTCGTGATTATCTGCATCGATACCCCGCCGAACAATCGACACCAATTCAGATTGGTTTGGCCCACGTTAGATTTAATACGTTTTTATATCGATTAATGCGGGGTGATATCAAATTTTGTAACACAGTGATCTTTTTATACCTGTTTTATTCATAGACCCTATTCGGATCTGATTCAACAATATCTTATTCGCAAAGCCATTATTTTTTTATTTATTTTTTTCGCTGAGCTAACCTTATCAGTGTGTTGTCTATTTCATGAGTTTCCATAAAAACGATTTGCAGCTGAGTGATACAGATAAAATCACTTAACCAGTTATGATAGCCGTGAAAGCTGTCTGTATACGTAGGGCGTAGCGGCAAAAAGCATCTTGAAACAGGTTAATGATCTACCCACGCCTGAAAAACGCTCGTAAAGAGTCGGACATCGTTTTCCGGCGACATTCGGATTCACTCGGCTCATTCCTTTACCATCGTAATATCAAAGGCAGAATTGGATTAGGATCAGTGACTGCATTTTGACACCCTTCTAACAGAATCCTCGTATGCAAATCGTGGAAAATGACAACCGAAATGAAAGTGTTGGGTCACACGAACGGCAGTCTAGTTACAAATCCAATGTTGTTTCCCAATGTTGATTATCCATATGAACATAAAGTGTAGAGCAAAATCAAAATATTTCACTTAAAAATTGGACGTGTTGAAAAATTACGAACGTTATAAAAGCTTTACTTGGCTGAATACAGCAGCCGAAACACACCGCCACACGCCTCATGACAAGCCACACTACCACTAGTCACTTCACAAGCCACATCACAAACCACACCATAACAAGCCACACTACCACAAGTCACACTATCACAAGCCACACTTTCACAAGCCACACCACCACAAGCCACACTCCAACAAGCCACACTATCACACGCCACACTATCACCAGCCACACTATCACAAGCCACAC